CCCCCCCCCAACATTCCCAAACTGCAATAAATACAGCGTCCCTCTCGAAGCGCCGGGCATCCCGGGAGACAGCCAAGACAAGCACACTCACTTACAGGTATAAATGTATGTGCATAGTGCAGAAGCGCCTGCAGTGAAAGGCGCTATAAATCTGCAGCAACCGTGAGCATGGATAGAGGCACAGAGAGGCACAGAGACGCCCAGATACGCATACACCCTGGAACACACATGCACGCGGCCCCGCTTCCCCAGCACCCCCCACCCCCCTGAGCCACGATAGCGTGATTCCCGCTCGCCTGATCCCCTCCTTTGTCCCCGGCTCCCTCTACCCCCACGCAGGCCTATTTGTTAAGCCCCGGCAGCAGGCTGCCATTAAATATACATGTGGATTGTCACGCACTGGCAAGGAGAGGCAGCCGGGGTCCCTGGGGACCCGCAAACAGCAGGCAGGGGAGCCAAGAGAAAGAGCCCTAGTGGTCAACGTGGTGTACTGCAAGGGGGAGGGGGGTTACAAAGACCCATTATTCCAACCACCCCCCTACACACAGTACACAAAGCTGTTTTTCATGTTTTGCATTACACTCCGTGATAGAGGGTGGAAGAGGGAGGGGACGAGCATGGTGTATCACACAGACAGGACGGAGACCCAGACAGGACGGAGACCCAGACAGGACGGAGACCCAGACAGGACGGAGACCCAGACAGGACGGAGACCCAGACAGGACGGAGACACAGACAGGACGGAGACACAGACAGGACGGAGACACAGACACATCTTGAAGGTCTGTGTGCAGGCCCATTGTGGACGTACCCGTGGTGATGCAGTAGTAGGTGTCGTGCGGCGACACATGGTGGATGCGGTGGTGCTTGCGTGGCAGCACCATGTGCAGGTCCTGCAGCAGCGTTACCCAGCGCGGGAGCCCGAAGTACGAGTGCGACCACTTGTGGATCTGATTGGTCATGGTGACGAAGACGGCAAGGGCGAAGACGAAGCAGTCCCAGGGGTAAGATTCGGCCAGGGCCTCTGCGACGGGCGACAGACCGGGGTCAGCACGAGGGGAGCGTGACATCAGTGCGAGGTCAACAAAACCCCGCCCCCCAAGGACAACAGAGCGGGTGTCCTATGCCACAGACAGAAAGGGGGCGGGGTCGCCGTCTACCGCAGCCGGGTATAAGGCAAGTGGCCTATACCCACCAAGCGCCATTATCACACTGCTCCGGCGCCACAACACAAACTGAGCGGGCAAGGGAAAGGGCAGCCGTGTCAGCTGGGGTTCCCTGTCGGGGTGGGGGCCCTGTGGCATGCAGGTGGCCCCCCCGGTGCCCCCTTATCTTTTACAGGCATCTGAGGAGTCGTTTTCTGGCCCCTCCCAACCCCCACAAAATGAATTAGTGATGGGTCACAGACACCATGCCTCTGCTTAGGTTACCGCCGTCTCTCCCCCACCTCTTCAAGAATGACTCCCCCGCGATAAACACAGAGGTGGGAGGGGCACCCCTGGGCTGCCAGACACTGGAACCCGAAAAAGGAAGTGAGGTAAAGTGCTAGATGACTGACAGCACTTAGTCCCGCCCACTCTGGCTCTCTCACCCTCGTCTCCCCATTGCTCAAAAATAGCCAGTAGGAGCAAATAATCATTTAAAAACCATTCCAGCTCTACAAACATCGGCTTTAGGCTGAGATTACAGTCCAAGGCTGGCCTTGACGTGTCCTCGGACACACAGTACAGAGATTACTGTGTTATAAAGTATGCCAAGGGCGTTAATCTACCTGGGGAGTAAATATGGTAAGGGTGGATGCTGTTTATATGGTAGAACATACATGTGTACATGGTGTGCGTGTGCGTGTGCGATCTCCAGTTGAGGCTCAGCCTGGTCACAGCCAGTGACGCTTATGCGGGCCCATGAAATCCACGACACTGGGGGCTTCAGAGTCCTTACGCTACATGCCCACAGCCAGCCCTAACCTCACAGGGGCCCGGAAACGTCGAGAAACCAGCAGCCTATATCACAATAATGTCAATTAACGCTAAATTAAGGTGGGGGCAAAAAAAAAAAACTAAACGAACTCCGAACCTCGTTATATCCTCGTTATATTAAGGTAAACGCTTCCAAAGACCACGAACTGTGGTGACAGAGATGCAAACTCGCAGTCAGGATTCAATCAACACCTCCATCAAGTCTAATTAATTAACGAGCCTGGCAGGTGATGAGACCTTCACGCGTGGCGGGGGGGGCATTACCTGGGAGGGCTGACAGGAACTTGTAGGCCATTTGCATCAGAGGCAGGATGGTGATCATGCAGTTGTCGCCGTTGGTCTCGATGAAGTCGTGTCGGGTGATGGCCGTGGGGTCGATGTGGTGCTCCCTGAATGGGCGGATGAAGGCCTGGCAAGGAAGGAGGAGGAGGGACAGAGAGCCAGGCTGGAGACTCCCAATTCCATTTGCTGGTTTCCACAAGCAACTGGGGACTGTGGGATAGCAGGACTCTAAACAAATTCAGACTACACCCAAAAAAATGATGGGGGAGGGGCTTCTGAGTAGCCTGGAACACACCCGGCAGGTTAGCCAATGGAATTCACCAGCAGCAGCTGTCAATCAAAGCATGGGGGCAGAGCCCAGGCCCTGAGAACTCAGGTGCCGAAATGGAGAAGCAGGAATGGAATAAGACCGGGAAGGGAAGGGAGGAAATGCCGTGCAAAGAAGGTAATTAATTACAGGGAAAGGAAAAAAATAAATCATAATAATTTGGGCCATTTCTGTCGCACTTAGGGACAGAACTCGCCGGAGAGTATTGGCTGTTGCAGGAATGCAGCGGCTCTCAGCGAAGGTCCTGACTATTATCCCCCCCCCCCACCTGTTCTGCAAGATTAAAAGAGCATTAAGCTGCAGACAGTATGGGGGCGGGGGGGCATGGATACCTAATCCCACATCATCCCCACCCTCTGCCAATCAGAGAACACCAACGCCTCATCACCCCGGCAACCACGGAACCAGAGGCCCCCCCATTCTACAAGATCTGTAGATTTATTTTTCCCTCTTTTTTAAAAAAAATAAAATAAAATAATAATGTTTCCATTTAATCAGCATTGTTAGTGACCCCCAACCTTGATCAAGATTCTGCCTTGACCTGCACCCCCCTGCTAAGCACCAAAATTCCACACCCCCCCACATCCCGCACCACAGGACCCACAGTCACGCCTCCCTCCCATTCTGGGCATTTCTAAACCCCCTCGCCTCTCCCAGGGACTGGATCCCAATTATCCCAGACAGCCGGGCGCGGCGCCGCGGAGTCAGGGTGCCCCATCACGTGCTGGCGGCTTTGGGCCCCCCACGCCCCCCCCCTAATATCGCGGTGGAGGATGTGCGCTGGCTCGCTTTCTGGGCGGCCCCCATCCCACGCCCCACCCCTCCCAAAGTGGGTCTCGGAAGTGGCCCAGATTTACCCAGCCCTAAAGAAAACCGCGAGGCAGGAGGTTCTCTGGGCCACAAGATGACCGTGGAGTGGGAGGGGCTTCACCAAGGCACAGCCACATCTCCACCCCCCCCCCACCCCTCTATAATACAGAGAAAAATGACGGGAATTAAGCAGGCCACCCAGAGGATGTCTACGAACTGTGGAACATCAATCCTAAACCTGGGGGGTGGTTAGAGTGGGGGGGGGTGCTATAGACAAGGAGGAAGTCCTGAGTGACATCGCAAGATACCGTGTCTAATTGGACACCTGCTAACGAGCACGTCGGATTCCGCTGCTTGTTTCAAAAGGGCGGCTTTGATTGACAATGACGGCGATTCTACAGCCCGAAAAGCGACCATCGCCGGGGCTTTGGGTCCGTTCTGTTCATCGGGCTGCACCCACTGCAGATCTCCTACATTGGGGAAATCGACGTACCTCGGGCCGATACAGCGCACACACGTTGACAGAGCAGAGGTGATGTCACTGCAGCAGTGGTCACACATCAGCACGTGTGTCACACGCTCACCTTGCCAATGACAGGGATGTCCACAGAACCCCAGGTGTCGGCTGCCCAGTGCAGCATCCCGGAGGCGAAGTCTGCAGTCACGATGCCAGCGACTGCAAGGTCGGGGGGGGGGG